ATAAAAGGTCAAATGGGATTTGGAATTTATATCTACCTTCTACTCTGCAAAGTCTGACTTGCAGTCAGAGTACCAGTTTGTTCTCTCCCTCCTGTGTCTGTCCATCAAAAACTGATCGCCAAAGCTTTTACTGAGAAGTAACAGCAAGCAAGCTGAGGAGAGGCTGCTTCGGGTTCTGTATGCTGAAGTTGTTGGAAATCATACATTTTAAGAAGAGTGCTTTTGGAAGTCAACACTGAATGCAGAAACAAGTCAAAGAAGCAGATAGATCAATTAAAGAGATTAATTAACACTGGAGATTTAGAGCTTAACCGGAATGAAAACTAGCATATAGATGGGTCCCCTAAGATTGGGGTAGGTAACCTCTGCATTAAGGGACTTGCTCTCACATGCAAAAATGTGTTTAGAAGGATCTCTTTGTAAGAGTGCATTACTAATCTGATGATGGTGAGGAAGAGTGTCAGCTGAAGAACCTACAGGTACTCCATATCCCAAAACAGCACCTACAGTTACAGGACCGTGATCAGGTTGTCAGGAAGTGTAAAATTCAACAAACGTGGAAATACATACAGTACAGATTTCTTTTAAAATCATGTACACAAATTCAAGAAACATGGAAATACATACAGTACAGTACAGATTTCTTTTAAAATCATTTACCTAGAAACAAGTGCACCAGGTAGGCAGGGTTACTGAAACCCTAAACCCTAATGCTTTAAACTATTCTCGGTGAAGTGGTTTTTGTTACCTGTATTATTTAGATGATTACTAGGTGCAGGTCTATTTAATTTGAATAATGTGAGCCCAGGAGGCCATGGGGATACCCTCTCCTCCTACTGACAAGATATCTAAAAGTTGGGCTATTGCACGTAGCCCATCTGCTCTAAACATAATGAACATTTATTATATAAACCTGTTTAGCTCAGAACTTTTCATTGGGAATTCAGCTGCATTTTTATAACAGTTAAAAGGCTGTACTTTCGTATGAAGCCACAACAGCTGTGCAGGTGGCTATACAGTGTTCACTTAATGTTATCTGATATTCAGTACGCACTAATGCAGCTGCTTCATACAAAGCCCTACTTCCACAGTATGTCTGCACTGTATTCAGGGACATCTACCCTCAGAGTGCATTTCTACAGCTCTAGTCTCAGTACAGCACAAACCCTAGGGATTAATTATGAGATAGACACACTGGATTATAATCACGATTAATCTGTGTATTTAGCCTATTACATTATGACATTTATTTGACTGTGCTGCAATGTGGCATGTTTGCACAGAACTGTTAATAAAGGACACAACAAATGCCTTTGTTTCACACCTGTTTTGCTTTAAAGCCTACAATTTTAGATGAAAAGCAATATACAATATTTATTTTTAGACTTAGGAATTTACAAATCTGAATTTGTAAATTTGTGACAAATCTGAATCGAGCTCACTACACTAAAATAGTCACCTGATGTGATGTTGCACTCATGCTCTTCCCCCTAGAGAAGAATTTCAAAATATTAAAAAAAGAATTTTACACACACATGCTTTTGACATATATATATATAATGCAACATCTAAGAAGAAGATGTCCTAGAGTAAATAGTACATTTAGAAATTCCTGGACATTTTTAATATATGAACATGTGAGACTGACTCACTGACAATTCCTAATATCCCCACTAGGTGTCTAATGATTCCTGTGCACAAAACAGGCTTCACAGCAGAAAATTCATGCAGTTAAAATACTGTATATTATGAATTACAAATGTGGACCCATTTACTGTATAATAGTCACTTCAATAAACATTTAAAAAACATTTCAGATAGCAGTTATAAAACTGCTATGCATAAACAATTGGAAAAAAAACTAATCATTTTCATCTTCCACATGCGAGGAAACAATATGAAAGGCATTTAGACTGTTAGAAAATATAGTTACAAGTTTAGAATTTAAATCATATGATGTAATTTCAGAATTTTACTGTGGGACTGCGAGATCATTTACAAACTTGTGTACAATTTGGGTCCTCATATTACAAAAAAGATTGCAGCTCAGAGTGACCACATAGTGGACATTCCCTGGTTTAAGAGTTCTGTTCTTGTACATTCAATACAAATTCTCATTATTTTTAGGAACCTTTGTACCTGTACTTTTTCAAATCCTGTATAAGGTTGTGTCATTTGTTCTTTTTAATATTTAAAAAAAAAACAGAAAACATCCTGTTGATCACAACATCCACAGGTTCAGCTCAGCTGTTAAAAGGACATTTACAAAGCAAAGCTTGTTCACCTTAATGTGTTGCAGGAGCAGATACAGTACATGACAGAGTTTCCATGCACTCCTTTGGTCACTGTGGTTTCTTTCACTGCATGACTTCAGTCCTTTGTGGTGGTGTAACATTTACGTAGCATTCAAGAGGGTACAGTTCATGTAAACAAATAACTGTTAATTCACATTTTACAACTGTGATAGATGGGTTGAGGTTATTTTTAAGAAATAAAGCTTTAGGCTTAATTTTGATTGTCTCATGGCAAATATGAGCTACAGTATATGGGCTGAATTCTTACTGATGTTCTGATATTCCTACATTGTATGTATGTTAATACTTTTTTTCTTCCTGTTAGTATGGTGCCTATGCAGAACAAAGTCAAACCAATGTATTTGACAGTCTTCCCAGGCTTTTCACTCTTATTTTGGGCAGAGACAGGAAGAAGGAAGAAGATTCACTGGTATAGTCTGGGTGATTATGATGTCCAGTCTTATTTAAATATATAAAGAGTTTATATTGTTTTGCTAAAACACTTTCTAAATTTGCAGAAACAGTTTCAGGCTAATCCCATTTCTAAGGCCCAGAGAAAACTGTTTTGCAACTCTAGCAGTCAGCACAGCTGCAGTGGGATATACAGTACAGAACTTGCATCATGAAGTGTCTTATCACTAGGCATTGACCCAGTGAGAGGAAGGACATGGCTGGCTGCCCCTTCTTTTATCACTTCATCTCCTGCTGCCAAAGGAAGTCAAGGCAGTTGCTGAGGTGTTACGGAAATTATTTCTTTGAGGTACATATCCATTTTTTCCTAGCGTTAAGTGAATGGTGGCTGGGGGCTAGAAACAATAACCCATATTCCAAAAGTCAAGTGCACCAAGCTGTTGAGCGAAGAAACTGCACGTACTGTATTGTGCCATCACACTCCTGTGGGAATACTTCCTTGCTCCCAGCACTGTTCATATGCTACATTGAATTTCACAGACATTGGTGGCACAAGTTTGTTATTTTTGTGAGATGTGTTGACAAAATAAATGTGGTAGGTAGAATGTTCTGAAGGTTTAAGTGTTTGCGTGAGAGGCTGGTGTGAATCAGGTGCAGAGTAAAAACTGGAAGAAGCACTTTTGTGCATCCCATGCATTTTAAGGGAACTGCTGATTATTTTGAGAGCAGTGATGTATTGTTTTATTCTCCTGTAATTGCACTTAATAATGCTACAGCTGAATGTGGCCTTATTTTGAATGACATTGAAAATACACTTATTTTAAAAACAATTCTTCTCCAAACAACATGCTTTGTTAAAATGTATGTCATATGGGGGCAGCAGGGTGACACAGGGGATAACATTGTAGCTTCACAGTGGCACCCTGGTTTCAATTCCTTGGGTTCTGTCTGTGTGGAGTTTGTATGTTCTTCTTGTGTTTGTGTGGATTT